GATTTAGAAGCAGAAAGAAAGAATGTACTCGCGACTGAAGACAACTCGCCGTCTCTGTTACTATCTCTCGTATTGTTGTTATATTTATCTCTGTTGTCTCTGTCACAAATTGATACATGATGAAAACGATTGCATTTAAAACACTTTAATTTTGATGAACACTTATTGCTAAAATGTTTATTACTAAGACAACGAAAACAACATTTTTATCTTTTTTCTAATCGTAATGTTAGTTATAAATTTACACTGATGCGATTGTGGTTATTTTTGCAAAATAAATACACATGTGAATAAGATTCATTTCGCTATAAATATAAGTTCTCTTATCGTATTTATTACTTGAATTATCACTCGAATGAAACGTACTAGCAGTAAAGGGTAAAGTATTTAAATCAGAAGAATTTATGCGTTCACGCGCTCTTAATTCAGCCTTTAGCGCACCGAACACATCTATAATTTCCCAAGTTCCACCATCATTTAGTTTACGGCTTACAATTAAATTTAGCTTTTCGGGAAGTTTTTCAAGTGTAGTTGGTACAAATAAAAACCCTTACATCGAAGAATCAATAACAATATTTTTTAAACTACGCATTTGAATCTCAACAGTATCTGAAAAGTTTCTTAAAGAATCAACATTTTTTATGTTGTTTAATCGGCGTAGATGTATTTGATTCACGGGTCTGGGCAGAGTGGTATATCTTAGTGAATTTTAATTTTAAAATGACTAAATTAAATCAATGTTTTCATCACCCGTGAATCAAATACACCTCCGCCGTTTAATCTATTAAGTTTTAAGTTTCTTCATATAAAAGGACACTGTCAACTGTTTATTTAAAAATCGCCGTTTTAAAGTATCTAAAGCAATAACATAATTATCGTTTGAAAGTGAAAAACCATTAATTGCAGAACAAGCTTATCCGTGAAGCAAGTTCCTTAGATGTCCGTGAAGCAAGTTCCTTAGATGTCAATTTTTGAATGTTACTTTCATTATTAATCATTTTTATGTATCGCACAGTCGAAATTTTTCTAAAATGGTTTCCAATTTTCCCAATTGCCATCAAAGGCTTCAATTTTTAAGGTAGGAAGTTTAATCATTTTATTTGTTTTTAATGTTATTGTAGAACTTGCATCATCATTAGATTTAATAGAAAATTTAATTAAAAAATTGTTTATTTTAGAAATATCTCTTTTGCAGCTTAATGTAAAGTCAATGGCTAAATCATCATTAATTTGTAACTCATCCGCGTTATCTATTCAAACTTAATCGAAATTTCATTATCTAGGGTTCTTTCAAATCTAACATTGGCAGTCTCCCTTAAATTATTTAGTTCTGATAAATTTTCATATGATTAACGTCTTCCATTAAATCGTTGGCTTGATCGAAAATTTTCTTTATAGAATCGACATTCATAGTTCGCACTCTTCTTTTTGTTGTTAGTACAAACATTTCACAAATCTGAAATCAAATTTAAAGGAGAATTTTTAACTTAAAAGTATTAACTTAATAAAAAGAAAGGCAATTAATTTTGGAATGTTTTAGTTAAATAGAACGTTTTAATTCTCGCGGACTTATTTTACTGCTTGTAATAATTTGTTTAAAAGAAAATTATCATTCACCAGCGGAAAAAAGGCAATAAAATAAAATAGTCAATATTTTGAACGACTGAATTTAAAATGAAGAAGATTCGCAAAAAGATATCGCAATTCTTTCTAATTTAATCTTAATACAATTTAACTTAATTTTCCAAAACATACAGTCTCTTAACTTGAATTTTAAACCTTAAATCACTTAACATAAACTATAGTCATAAATAATGAAACCACTTAGTTGGTAACTTGATTTTTAAAACAAGCGTATTCTCCTCGAAGAACTTCATTTCACCTAATAACTAATATAATAACTTCCCGACGGGCATTTGTTTTTAAAAGTTACGTTCTAAATGTATTTTAAATGTCTTTTAAACGTTTTTTGCGTAAAAATGTTTAGAAGACGTTTGAAAGACATTTAAAATACATTTAGAACGTAACTTTTAAAAACAAATGCCCGTCGGGTTTTAGTAGTCTTAAAATAAAAACGGCTTCGCTCGTTAAATTTTCAATTATTTTTTAAATCGTGGGCTCCATAAAGAGTTTGGAAGGGACTCTAGCATTAAATCACATTGATAAGATTACATTGATATATATTTTATGTACGCTCGTTATATACAATTATAAACTTGGATCGCGCCAAGTGCTCAACATACAACTTGCGGGGAAAAAGAAAACGTAAGAGGCGTAAAAGAACTGAAGTGACTTCGCTCTCCGCTATATACACAATAACAAGAAACCTACTGGCTGCTGCGTTAGCGGACTAACGCAACAGTAGCTTCAAGAGTAGCCACGGTGTATGCTCTGAAGTATTCGACAAAAAGTATATTGTTTATAAAAAAATGAAATAAACTCACACAACTCACCAATTAAATATTACTGGTGCTGTGACAGTTACTTTAACGGGACCGATAACAACGTCGGCACATACTAAAACAGAATTTGATAAGATATTTTCAAACGTGGTAACATTAAAAGGAAAACCCCAAGATTATTAGATGCCTAATTTAACGCATCTGACGGGGTAGGTTTTATGACAGTTGAGCCTCAAACTTTAAACTGGCTTTCTTTACAGCCTTTTTAAACAATTGACCAGCTTACTTTTAAATTTACTGGTTATGATGGATGAGTTATTGTTGTTTTCAAATTGTTTTAGTTTTTTATATCTGTGATGTTGTTGTTGTGAATTAAACAATAAAAACAAATTATATTATACTAATATTTGAAAAAAGTGAAGTTCGATTATTTAAAGTAAAGATCCAGTGCTGCCTAAAGTTAACGAAAGATTTATTAGCTTGGCTCCTTTTTTAAAAGATCTTCTGCTTTAACCTATAGCAAACATTCTTTTGACTAAGCAATTTTAAACAGCTTTGTCATGTGTTCCGAGGACTAATGAGCTCGATGACGAACTCCAAAAAAAAATTACTTTGAAAAAAATTTCAAAACATCTATCTATTACTGTAGCAGTTTACGATAAAAACGAGTTGTTAATAGGAGTTGTTGGCGGCAAGCTTGTAGGGACAGGCGTTGGTGTTTGAACCAGCATAGAGCTTGCTAGGACCGGCGCTGGGTGCGGAATTATTTCAGTTCTACTTAGTTTATTCAAAACAAATATAACTGCATCAGCAAATGCTACCACATGCTACTTACAGCGGCCGCCGAAACTGATTCCTCATTTCAAGAAATAATTTCTCGAATGCTTTCAGTTGATGAGCTTAGCGATGGTGAGTTTACCACGAAAAAAAATTTCAATCATTCTTAAGGTTAGTTGGTCAGGGAAGAACGGCAAAAAATAGCCGACGAAGTTGACAACCGCCCAGAAACACTTCAAGATAACCAAAGATATCTTTTTATGAGACGGGTTTAGTTTAACAAACAATCAAGCAATCTTTTAAATTTTGATCTGATTTTTTGTTGTAGCTGGCTAAAGCGGTTTAACTGTTAAAGTTGCCGGCTTAAGCTAATTAACTATTGTAGGAGAAGAGGGCAGCTTCTCATTATTTTTTGAATTGAAAATAGTATGACAGCAATAGCTTCTAATACAATAGCATCATAAATAAGATTAATATCGTTAAAATCAAGAGAAAAAGATTTTTTTTTTCATTTTTTCTTTTGTTTTTATTTCTTTATCTTCTAAGCTTACAATATTTTCTTTATGTTTAGCTAGCTCAGAAAGAAAACCTGTTGTTTTTCTTTTCGTTTAGCAGGGGGGCGACCTGCGAGTACTCTTTTTTCAGATTTAGCTTCTTTATAACTTATTTATAAGCGTTTTTGTTTTACATTCAAATGCTTAGCAATAGCTAAGAAATGCTTAGCGATTGTTAATTATTGTTAAAGTCATTATTTTTAAAGGATTGCTAACCATACGCTTAGGGTTCTGATTATTAATTAAAGATTTTACTTATCGTTGCTTAACATTTAAGCAACGATTTGTTTTTCAATAAGAATTACGCATTGGAAATCTTGTGAAAGAAAATTAAACTTAAACTTATTTAAAGTTAACCCAAATTTAAATTCATAACAACAAATTTTATTTGCTTCCCAAGTAACATATGATTTTGTTCCATAAATTTAATTTTTTTTAATCTTTATTGTTGATAATAGATTTGTTTTTTAAAACAGACTTTAAAGTTGTTTTTTTTTACAAATATTTTAAAACCTTAGTAAAAATGACCTCATTGTAAAGTTATCTCTTCTGCATGTTATTGTTTTTAATTAGCTTTATTTTTATGGAGTAATTTTTTGGAGGCAGTTATGTAGAGAGAAACAAAATTAATAAAAACTTATGGATAAATAAGGATACGTGAACATTTTTTCAGAAATCGTGTCATTCAGATAACCCCTTCAATGTCTCAATTGCCTAGGACCATCCGCTCCTTCGTTTGCAGCGCTAACACGTTAGAAAGGAGAAGCCTGATGTGCTCCTCTTCATCACTAATATTTATAATGATTGATTACTATATAAAAAGAGTTTTGCTCTATTTACCATTAATAACATTAATGACATTGAAATTATTATTATTAAAATATTAAAAATACATTGAAAATTCAATATGACATTTAGACGTTGAAATTTCAATATAAAAACAAATATAAATAAAATTGCAGCTGGCAACTTGTAACAACATAACCAATAACTTAAGTAAAATATTTTGTTTTTAAATGCAGTCAGGAGTCAGCATGATGAATTTAATTTATTTTTGAAGAAAAACACTGCACTTAATTAAAGTTCCATCCCCACCACGCTCCAGTACCCCACTCAACTTGTTTAGCGCGAGTTGCTTGCGTGCCCTAATTCTATAACTTCATTCTTAGAAGTTATAGAATTGAGAGAGGGTTGTTACCGCTACTAAAAGTAGCCTCTTTGACTGTTATGGCTTTGGGGAGGGTTAATTTAAAAAAACAAAAAAAATATATATTTAAAATTCTTTAAAACCTTGTAAAAAAATTTAAAACAGCACAATGTCATAATTACTAAACAACTTCCAAGGCTCACCTCACTAAACGTAAAAATACTTGCAATAAATGTTTTTTTTTGCAGTATCTGTTTTTAGTTTTTCATTTGTCAACTTAAACAAAAACTCATTTGTCAGCTTAACCAAAAATTAAAGTATTAGGTATAGTGAAGTTTCCTTTACTTTAACAATAAATTTGAAATAATCCAATAAAGTTGAAAATAATCTAATTTTTTTTCATTTTAATTAAGTATGAAAATTAGGATGTTTCATTCATTAACTATTTCGTTCAATATGATTGTTCTTACAAGTGCTTCTGTGACAACGTATGGATCGCAATTTGATGCAGGTCTTCGATCTTCTAAGTAACCATACCCATCTTCTGCACATTGGCGTGGCACTCGAATACTACAACCACGGTTTGCAACTCCATGAGAAAATTGATGTATCGTAGAAGTTTCGTAATGTCCAGTTAGACGTCTTTCGTTGTCTTTACCACCAGCCGGATCATAACATCGAATGTGATGTTTATGGTTCTTTGATAACCAGTCAATAGCTTGATTTATTTTATTGATTCCTCCCTCTTGTCGCATTTCAAGCGTACTAAATATTTTAAATATGATAATCTATTTTAAATGCGTTTTCTTGACAAATTTTATGACATTAATGTCATAAAATTTGTCAAGATTATTTATTTATTTTTAATCTTCCATATTAAAAAACTTAATATATACAAAAAAAAAAAAAATAGATTGCAATACAATATAAATTTTTGTATTATATTAATTAAAACACTAATAAAACTACATTTTATTATAATCTACTTTTATAAACCATAAACAAAATAATATTAATAAAGTTGTACCATATTCAAAATACAAGCAAATTGATTAAAAAATCTCTAGTAATACCTGAAGTTTGAGTGACAACCAGCACCGTTCCAATTTCCAGAAATTGGTTTAGGGTCTAATGTAACAACAATTCCAAAATCTTCAGCAACTCGTTCAAGCAAGTATCGAGCTACCCATAATTGATCTCCCATTTCAATTCCTTCGCAAGGTCCAATTTGAAATTCCCACTAAACAAAACAATATTAAACAATCAAACAACATAACTTCATTATATGTAATTTATTTAAAAAAAGAAGCCTGATAACTTTAAAAACCTGTGATGCCATAACTTCAGCATTTTCTCCAGCTATTTTTAATCCCGCGTAAAGACATGCTCTGTAGTGAGCCTCCATCACTTCTCTTCCAAAGACTTTTCCAGTGCCAACAGCGCAGTAGTATGGTCCCTGAGGAGCCGGATAACCACCTTTTGGCCACCCAAGTGGTTGTCCATCACGATCAAGTAAAGAATACTCTTGCTCAAGGCCAAACCAAGGATGAGAGTCCTAAATTAATAAAACACCATAGTAATTACATCATTGTGATTTAATTTAGATCTTTAACTTGATTTTCAAAGATAACTGTGTCAAAGTTAACACAAATATGTAATGTGGTATGCTTTGCACATCGCATAACATATTTTATGCATCATTATATAACAAGGGCAACATAAAATATGTTATGTGAAAATATGTAAATTGCTTTCAACTTAAGACGTGTGTTAATGTGCTCAGCAAATATCAAATATATTACGCAAAAATTTTAACAAATTTTAAAAAAATTGATAACCCACATACCTTCACTAGCTCCATTACAGATTTACACGATTTTCTTTTGTTAGATTCTGTTGGCTTGTGATCATAAGTATAAGTTTCACAGAGTACAAGCTTATGTTTACCTTCTCTGAATGGATCAGGAAAAAGGGCCACAGGATGTAAATAAACATCACTATTTTTGCCAGTTGCTTGACCTGTTGACGAGCCGTCAAAGTTCCAAATTGGTAACTGCTCGGGTGTTTCAGGTTCGTAGTCAAGGGTTTTTGTTTTTGATCGCAATGTTTTACCTGAACCATCAATCCATATGTAGTTTGCTTGAATTTTACCTTTTGTGTCAAGCTCCATATATTTGTTTAATATGCCCTGGTTTAAGCCTTTGTAGGTATCCATTTTATCAATGGCGATTAGCTAAATATTATTTCTAAAAATAAATATGTTATAAAGTTAAAAGTTATAATTAAAGTAAAAACTTTAATAGTTATACTTTATATAACTCATCGTAATTAAAAAAAGTTTGCTTTACATAACAAAAGTCTAAATTTGAAGTTTTGAATGTTTTTTTAGTTTAACACTCAACGTTTTTAAAAATTGAAATATTTTGTTAAGTAAACTTAGATTTAGAAATTAAATCACTTCTTTTGTTAAATTATAAATAAAATTCAATTATAATTAAAATTCTGTTCATGATAACCTATTCAAATAAAAAATGCATTTTTATGGTAAAAAAACATAACATTCAATAGATTACAAGGCATATGAAATTAAACATTTATAATATTAAAAAATTTGAATAATCTGAACTTACCAATATCTTTTCTTCAAATGTAACATGTTTTAAGGGATGAAAAAGCTACTTAAGTAGTTGATGCGCATCCGTTAGACGTTGTTAATTGCATAGCAACGTGAAGTTAATTGTTTTAACTGAAAAATAGTATTATTATTGTTGCGCAATATTAAATCACTTAGGTGTAAGTAATATTTGTGAATGATGTTTTTTAGACAACTATTTTAATAGTGTGAACATGTTTAGGTAATTAAAATTGTAAGAATAAGATATTTTTTAAGAATTTAATTGAGATTATTTTTCCATTTTTTTTTCGTTACTGCGCTAAACTAGCGAAATTATTAACAAAATGTTTATTGATAGTTTTAATTACCTTTGTTTTTACAGATTTTTAATTACCTTTCAACAGATTTTTTTAAATAACAATTAAAAAAAAACCCTCATGTAACTTAAGGGCTTTTTCTGAATTTTTTTTTTAAAAAGTTCTTAATAATAATAATAATAACTTAAAAATAGAGAACTCGTACAACTGATTATAGGAGCTAGATATATCAAGTATGTTGACCTTATCCATTAGACTTTGCTTTTTACAAATTTTTGTATTAACAAACAAAATAAGCAACATATACATAGAACAGGTAGTCTGCAATAAATTCCTAACAAAAAAAGCTCATAAATGTTCTATATGTGAGGATACAATATGTGAGAATTATTATAATGGGTTTGGTCTTGATAATAATAATGAGATTAGGCAGGGACGATGAGAATTTAAAGAAGAGGGTGAAAAAAAGGGGTTTGCCGACTATGGATAAAAAATAACTTTTTGCCGACTAATGCTTTTTAAAAAAATAAAAAAAAGGTCTTTGTTGGCTGAGATTTGCCGACTGAAATTCCGATTTTCACGATTAATTTTTGAATTAAATTTTCGTAGGGAGCTTAGATATTACCCTCTCCCCCTTGAATACGGCCCTGAGTTTCTAAGGTTTTTGGTATCCAAGAGATTTATAAAAATAAAAAAACTTTTGGAGTATTTTTGAAAACTCTTTATGTATAATGGTGATAAGAGTTTTAGGACTACGGAACATCGTGCTAAAAAAACAATAATATTAATAATGAGTCATTAACTCATGAATTTATTTATCTATTATCTATTTTTTATTTTATTATGAATTTATTTATCTATTTATCTATTTTATTTCTATTTATTTTTTGATTGCTTTTTTCTCTTATTAAAGTGATTTAAAGCTAATTAATGGCAAGTTAAATAAATTTAGTTTCAATTTTTTTTAAATTATATACTAATAAAAAATGCTTATATATATATATATATATGTATATATATATATATATATATATATATATATATATATATATATATATATATATATATATATATATATATATATATATATATATATATATTGTTGTTTATTATTGTATCTGGTTGAGATACAAATCCTCTTGTTTACTTGTGAGTGATCAATATAATGTAAAAGCAATTTTTACAAAATAGATTAATATATATATATATATATATATATATATATATATATATATATATATATATATATATATATATATATATATATATATATATATATATATATATATATATATATATATATATATATATAGTATAATTAAATAGAAAAATACAACTTTATAATGAAATTAAAAATTTCATGCCTATCGGCAACCTTGAGCCATATATATTATACAAATCAAGAAAAAAACCGTTAAAAAATACAAAAAGTACATTTTAACGATCTTGTTCAAATTCCCATCAATAAATTTTACATTGGCATAAACGAAACACCTTTTAAAATTTGATATGCTAATCACATAAAATTTTTTAAAATTCCCAAATACAAAAATGACATTGAATTATCAAAGGATGTGTAGATTTTAAAAGATAAAAACTTGAACCCGGTTGTTAGGTGAAAAGTGCGATGTCTATAACCCTGTAACAAAAAGATGTAACTTATGCATAAACGAAAAGTACGAAATTTTATTTTTTAAACACCCAAACTTGTTAAATAAAAAGAGTGAAATATTATCTAAGTGCCGGCATAAAAACAAATTTCTTCTTGTCCAATTTGACACTGGCAATTAGCAGTTTTACTTCTATCCTTCTTTTTTATTCGTTTTGTTTTGACGTCGGTACTCATTCTACTGCTGTTTTTGTATTTTGTATTTTTTAACGGTTTTTTTCTTGATTTGTATAATATATATGGCTGAAGATTGCCGATAGGCATGAAACTTTTAGTTCCATTATAAAGTTGTATTTTTCTATTTAGTTATACTTTATATCATTAGTGTTAGGAGTCGTTTTTAGTTTTGAAAGAAAAAATTTATTTATTAAAATTTAAACAAATATTTCGATAATTTTTAATAGATTTAAAGAATCATAAGCATTTATGCAGAGTGGCAAACGTTTTAGACGAATTTTTGACTTTTGACGAATTTTTAAAAGCGCGTAAATGCAAATACTGTTTGCGTTTACGCGCTTTTAAAAATTCGTCAATGGTCGCAAATGGTCGATTTTTTGTTACCTATTTGAAATAAGGAACGAAAAATTGACCATTTGCGGTGATCGGACTTCTGCGGTGATGGTCTGAAAACTGAAAACCGCTAACCGACAATCACCGACAATCACCGCACACCTCTAACTGCTGTCGATTTTCAAATGGTCGAACTTCAAAAAATTATAAGTTGCATAACTTAAACTATTTGCGTTTAGGGAACGAAAAATCGACCATTTGCGGTGATCGTCGGTGACTTCTGCGGTGACTTCTGCGGTGATGGTCGGTGATGGCATTTCAAATAGGGAACGAAAAATTACCATTGACGAATTTTTAAAAGTGAGTAAACGCAAACAGTATTTGCATTTACGCGCTTTTAAAAATTCGTCAAAAGTCAAAGAAAAAATGCAAAGTTTAATGAAGAAAAAATCTCAATTTCGCTAATCAAAACAAAAAATCATGGCCACTAAGAAGATCTAAGTATCAAATTTTATATATTCAAAGAATAAGGATCTCCTGTTCTCGGAAAGTATATTAACAAAAAATAAGACGTAAAAGGAAACTATTACTACATTGCTTTTAAAATAAATAAGGGTAATTATTTGATCATTAAAATTTTAATCATTAAAAAGTGCGCTTTTAGGAGGCGGAAATAAATGAGTAAAAAATTTTCAAAACGAATTTAATAAAAGTTTTTTTAATAAAAATCTAAAAAAACTTTTTAACAATTATTAGAAGCAATTTTAATGAAACGCTCTCGGAAATGAACGGATATCCCAAATTATTTCGAAGGGAATTCCGATTTAACATAATTCTAAAAAGTTTACAATATCTTCTAGAATTAGAAGATATGTCAGCAAAAAATGCAGACAAAATATGTAATTTCTTTCATAAATCAACAACCATTATAAAACATATACTAAGTACAATTTACGGACTATTATAATTCTCAAGTAGTTTTATCACTCATAAATTAACTTTCGGAAAAGAAAAGTGGGTTTAAATTATAAATTTCTTTATTATGACGACTACAAACCTAAAGAAGAAACGAACCGGATTGTTGAATGAACAAAAGTTGAATATTTTTGGAAGTATTAAAAAATGGTAGATAGGGGGGAGGGGGGGTAAAAATATATTACGAAAATCTCAAGATTTTTTTGCAAAAAACTAAAACTAAATAAAAATAAAAAACAAAAATAAACATAAAAACCGAATCCAAAAAATGCATTTAAATTTAAAGTGCAACTTTTGGATTCGTTTTTGATTAGTTTTTATGTTTATTTTTGTTTTTTAAATTATTTAAATTAAATAAAAATTGAAAAAAAAGTTCAACAGATTTGCAAAACAAACTTGAACGAACAAAAAATGAAAAAGCTAAAAGATATATACTTTGAGGTATACGAGCAAGAATCCGATTGAGATTGGATGGATAAAATTTTTTTCAGGATTGTCAATGTTAAAAAGTGACAAAACAAGAAAATTAGTAGTTGAATAAAGCGTTTCTGAAAACGAATAAGAAAAACTGTATTCTAAATAATAAAATGAAAATGGTTTTAGGAGTTTTTTTATGAATTAATTAAAAAGGACTTAATAGAAACGTTTAATAATGTTCTAACTAGCAGTGAATGATAATCTCAATATGGAGGTATCATAGCTTTTATATATAAAAAAGGAGATAAAAAGGATATTAACAATTTGAGACATAAGATCCTTAGGAGAGGAAGGGCGATGTGGGAATTGCTTCCCTCAAGATGTTTCGAAAAAATTGCTTATTCCTTATCTCAACTTTACGAGACGGTCTGGATCCAAAGAATAAAAAAACAACTGTAAATACCCCCTTCTCTTTCCTTTACTGGATGGTTCGGATCTGCCCCTAGACTAATGACCTGTATCTCACACAAAATGGGACCATAAAAGTCAAAGAAAAACATTCGCCATTATATTGGAAAGTGTCCTACCTATTAAACAATAATTAAACGGCTTGTAAAACACATCAATGTATAATAACCTAAAGTACACTAGAGTTAAAGTACCTAAAGTTACCCAACAAAGAAAAACTAAAATAAAACAAAAAGAACGGTTTCCTCTCAGATAAAATAACTATTTTACAAAGAGTAAGGCAAGGTTGCCATTTATTGATGGTATTGTACGTCTTACAATTGTTTTTTATCAGCTTCAGGGTTCTATCCTAGATTCATTATTGTTTTTAATATATATTAGCGATATGCATAAAGCTTCCCAACAATTATCTACAATTATGTATGCTGACAATACAAACTTATTTTTCAATCATCCTGATGGAAAGATTTTGTTTGAAACTATGAATACTGAACTCGAAAACTTCAACCTTTGATTTATAGCGAATTAATTATCCCTAGATTGTGAAAAAACTACCTTTACTCTTTTTCATAAAAAAAAAAAAAAACAATCAATTAATCTTCCGTTTAAGCTGCTCAAACTGCTTATTAATAAAAAGCAAATAAAACGTGAAAAATATGAAAAATTTTGGGAGTACTGTTTGATGAAAATTTATCGTGGAGAAACCATATGATTTTTCCATGATAAACTTTGATGGTTCTA